AATAAAGGAGTAGTTTAAAGAGTTAGCAGTAGATGGAGCGTGAGTGTTCATCTCTTTCTTACAAAAAATAAGAAATAGTTGCTTTTTTAACTAGTTTCCGTAAGAAAAATAGTGCATTTGTATCAGAAGGAACTTTAAATTTCATTACCTGGTAAGCAATTCAAATATTGTTATAAAGTCTCTTACAAGTTTTATGGACTCCATGGAATGCCTGGTACACTATTTATTATCCATATGTATACCAAAGGAACTACGAAACTTTGAAGTATGGTTTGTCTGTTTCTAATTCTCCTCTCTTAGTGTATGGATGGTAGAATGTTCAACATATCTAGAACAGGTGTATTATCATCCCTGCTGCCTGTTTTTAGTATGGATTCATCAAACAAAGATTAGGTTATCAATCTTCCCTTCTACCCAACTCAGTTATCATTAATGTTGCTCTGTTCCACCCTACTGTATAATTCTGCTAGGTTGCATGTGTAGCTATAGTCAAGCTTTTCTTCAGCTTCTTAATGTTATTAGGATCTACCAATCTTGAGCTGACCCTGATTGGCTACTTTGACCTATTTATTTAATCCTGTAATCATTGTAAATGATTTAATGTACCAAATTATTTTGCTTAATGAGGCTAATACGATCTCTTCTAAGTGTGTTTGTAAGTACAACTACATTTCTGAACTCAGCCCTTCTAAGAATTCTCCTTAACGCTTTTGAGATGCCCTCCATAACAAAGTAGAGATATTTGGTTTTCTCTTTACACAGTTACAATTATGATGATGATGATTATACCCATCTGTACAACCAATATTGCTCACAGTTTCCTTACAACTTCTAATGATTTTGGGTTGGTATTCATCATGGACTGACATTACTCGAAGAAGGTTTGAACACCTGAGATCACTAGGCATCTTTTTCTTCCTTGTATGGAGCTCCTCAGTAGTGCACACCATGACCCCACCAGGGACCTTAAGGTTTCGCGGTTAGCCACGGGGTCACTGGGTCGGAATTCAGTGGTCCATATTTCCTACTTCCGTCATTTCACGATATACCACAACCTCCTTCCAATGTCATCGTTGAGTAACTGTCGTCATCCTAGGCTTGATTGGCCCCAATAGTCACGCCTTTTCAAAGGAACTTCGGGAATCACCTCTTGGAGCTAGTCACCAATAAGCACTAGAATAATTCAATTTCAAGGTTTTGGAGGATTTATTTGTTGATTTCAGATTAATATTCATGATGAACTGGTATCTGATGTTTGATTCCGAACAAGTGGCCCAATGACAGCATGCCGGTCTCGGAACCTGAAGACACTGAGTTCGATCCCAGTGGGGTCATGGGTGCGCACTGCTGTGGAGTTCCATACTAGGATGAAACAGCTATCCAGTGATCTCAGGTTTCTAAGGTTCTCCAAATGATATCAGTTCATGATGAATACAAACCTGAAATAAATAAATAAATCCTGATTAGCCTCAAAATTGAATTCGTAATGAATTTACTGGTCAATTGAAGAGGATTATTAGTTATGAGCACGTTACTTTTATTTCTTATATCAGAAGAATACATATTACCGAAATCATCTCGTACTTAATTGTAAGCTTCGCATATTTTAAATGAAACATAATTACACCAGAAGTCGAAAATAATTAATTGATACACTCAAACAAAATTACAAAATGAATACAATAACTGGAACCAGTATGGTATGACTTCATATTGTGCTCAAACTTTGTATTTAGTCGATATGCATCATTTATTTAACTGAAACAATAATAATAATAATATGCTAATATTTGGGTTCAGAAAGGCTTCATATTCTTTCAATAACCATATATCAAGGGTGAATTTTTTCTGTGAAAAATGAATTTATTATCATACTATTTCACTATAACTTTAAAATAATTATTCAATATACATTATAACTTATGACTTGATTGATAAATAACCAAATGTGTCAACTTAACATTGAGGTTTCATTTAAGAAGTTTAGTTATACATTAAATTACTATACTATATATTCTGCTTACTTCACTATTTCATCGGTCTTGGTTAACCTTTTAAAACAATTTGTTTGTTTTTATTGATCAATAACTAATGACGCCTTTATTTCTACAATTTACTTATATCCTTATTATTGTTATGATTTGGTAGTGATTGATAGTAAATACTTGGATGTATATTTTGTCGACTGGATGCTCACAAGAATTCATGTTCCAACTGCAAATCGAATCCATCAACTATCAGTTTATGGATAAAACTGTTATTTAATAAAAGTGTTATGTTGCAATAATTACCATTTAGTAAAAGGAATGTATAAGTTTCCACTGGAAACTAGAATTTACCCATAAAATGAACGGAAATTCTAAAAATTGGGCTACTATCTTTAGTTATGTGAATGATTTTGATAAGCTGCAAATAAATTTTGATTTCAATTACAAGAAAATGTAAAATAGTAGTATGATTAGGCTTTACAGAATAGACCAGGCTGTGTTAAAGTAGTTGTTTCTCTAAGAAGTGTACTAAATTAGCTGTGAAACACTTAAAGCTTCATCAATCAATTGAAAATAGCACTTAATTTACGACTTTCGTATGTATAACCATGTATTTAAAAGACAAAAGCTTCCAACTAGTGAAAGTTAATTATACTTCCATATTAGATTTGTTTATTTGATATAAAGCGCACAGTGATACAGTATTATTTACTTGATTACGTTTCGAGCATAAATTATTGCTCATAATCATATCAATGTAATCACACTTCTTTCGACATCTGATTTTATAGTCCTGTCACCTGATCTCTCTTTGTTTTTTTTTTTTTGATTGGTAGTAAAGTTTTCCATATCTCTGGTATAGGTGTTGCGTCATTCCTATTACATGTGTTGGGTGTGGATTCGATGAACAAAGATTCAGTAATTAATCTCTCTCTCCACCTAGCTATATTAGACTTAAGTACAGTGGTTTTGTCCCATCCTATTGTGTGGTTGTGTGTTAATGAATGTAATGCAATGGCTGAGTGTTTTTCTAGGTTATTGATCTTATTGGGGTCTGCCGTTCTATGTTTAGCTAAATTCCTATGTTCTGTTAATCTAACTGACCCCGACCGGCTAGTTTGACCTATGTATTTGACTTCACAGTCATTACATGGAATTTGGTAGATTATATTATTTTGCTTAATTGGTTCTATCGGATCTTTTAGCCGACAAAGCTTACCTCTAAGTGAGTTTGTTGGTTTAAATGCCACCCTAATTCCAACCTTGTTGAGAATCCTACGTATGGTTTCTGATGTTCCTTCCTTGTATGGTATCACAATAGAGGTGTTGATTTCCTTTCTACTTATGTTGTCACTATTATTTGTATTTGTATTAGTGTTATTATTTTGCTTCTTATGCGTCCGTGTGAATTTCTTAATAAAATGATGGGGATAATTATTAATTATTAACGCTTCTTTTATGTGTTTCAATTCCTTATTTAAGTCCTTACAATGACTAGTGAGTTTCTCAGCTCTGTTATTTAGACATTTGACTAAACCCGCTTTAACTGACACTGGATGAGATGACTTGAAGTCTAGATATCTGTTAGAATGTGTTGGTTTTCTGTAGACGGTAGTATCTAAACCACCATCTATCCTTCGTTTTATTCTGCAATCCAACATAGGTAATTCTCCTTGTTCATTTTCTACTTCGTAGTGAATTGGATTGCGTTAACTACTGAGTTTATGTGTGTCAAGAAACTGTCGATATGTTCCGATTTCAACACTGTAAATGTGTCATCTACATATCGCCACCATATCTTAGGTGTCGGATTATATGTTCGTAAAGCCATATCTTCCCAACTATCCATAAATATATCTGCTACTATAGGGGATATTGGTGATCCCATTGCTACTCCTTCTGTTTGTCTATATCTTTCCCTGAAACTTGAAGACTGTCGAGGTTAAGCATAACTGCACTCCTAACATGATTTCACCAACCGATGCCTTGGTTCTTTGAGTAAGTTGTGAGTCAGTATCTAGTTGATTTCTGACTGCCTCCAGTGCCATATTGATTGGTATTTTAGTATAAAGACTTGTTACGTCAAAACTAACCATTTTTTCATCCTCTTCTATGTGCAGGTCATTAAGTTTTTGTTTCAACTCGTAAGAATTTACTAGTCTAGAGTTGGAACGGTCTCTAACAGGACGTAATACTGATGCTAAATACTTTGATATCTCATATGTTGGTGTGTTCGGAAGTCAACTATCGGCCTAATGGGATAACCTGCTTTATGAACCTTAATAGTACCGTAAATTCTGCTAGGATTATTAGTTTTTGGCATTAAAGTAAACCATTCGGACTTACCTAGAGATGGCTTCAGTCGGCGTATCAGATCTGTTGTAGATTTCTTAATTTTATTCATGACAGTATCTATAGGTTTCTTAATCTCTTCATATGGCCCTGTTTGGATATGTTCATCCATTTTTTTAAGATAATCCGATTTGTCCATAACTACTGTTGAGTTACCTTTGTCAGATTTAGCAATTACTATACTATTATCCTTTCGTAGATTGTTTAAAGCTGAATTTTCCAGTTTCGTTAAGTTTCGCTGTGTCTTCTTTTGTTTTTTAAGTGCTAATGCACACTGCGCTCTAACCTGTTCAGCAGTTGTCACATCCACCGAGCTTAATGCTACTTCTATGCTAGGTATGACATCTTCTGGTTTTAGATGATCTACTGTTATGTTGAAGTTTAGTCCTTTATATCAAATAAACAAATCTAATATGGAATTACATTCTACCACAGTGCCCAAGTTTTTCACTTATATTAAAGTTAATTATAGTTTATTTAATCTTGTATGAAAGCTAGTCTGAAGTAAATCTCAGATGAAAGCGCATTCCTTTTCTTAAAAGATTTTGTATATAACTGAAATGAAGTGTAGTTCTTTTTGTTAAAAGTTTAGAAATTTTGATTTTTTGATTTATAATCGACAGTACACTTAACTGATTTGTTCATAATGTCTTCATACAGCAAATAGATCATATTCTGGTGGCTGGGATCAACAAGATGGTTTTCGTACAATTGCAACAACAAATTACCACCGTGAAATGCATACATCTGGACCTCAATCACCATATCTGTAAGCTTTAAATTTTAATTTGTGTCCGGTGGTGTTTTACCCTTTCATTGGATATTGTTTTGTTTTATGAAAGTACCAGTTTCAAAATGATAAGTTCAGCGGTGATGAAAATGTGTGCTGAGGATGATTTCATTTATTTTATTGAGAACCCTTATTGGTACTGAAATGATGACCAGTCACAAGTGACAGTTAAAATTACAGTTTATTAATCATCAAAACAGTGTTACTGGCATAGTTGTTATTATATACAAATATATATATATTGAAGTTTGACTTTTTTTATAATCCTAGAACCCTTTGACACAGTTAATGTCTGTCTACGATGAAAACTGTATGAAAACCTGTTAGTGCCCCACATTTATTTGTTCCCCTATAATGACTTGCCTTGAGATAGATTTCCTGAAATTCTAATGATAGGCTGTTGTATGTGAACTCCCTCAAGGTGAACGTGGCAACCAATACTTGATGACGGCACTGAATTACGATCATAGTATACAACGAATTAATAAAAATTGAGAAGCATTAGTCAGTGACTGAATGATAACGTCCTTTGTGTGAAAACTGACGACCTTAGGTTTCATTCCACAATGGGTTATGAAAGAGCATTGCTGAGGAGTCACAGTTGCAGACGAAACACTTATCTAGTGCTTCCAAGTCTCTTTTCTTTCTTTACCTGATGTAGCTATTCAACAGAGACTCTTGAGTTAGCAGAAGCATTCAGTGTTGAGAAGTAGGCAGGTGACATTTAAGGATCTATCTTATGTGTTACAGAGTATCTTGGAGATGAAACGCTAAACCTATCCAATATTCCATACTTATCAAGCTATGACATGAAGTCAGTTGTGTTCTGTGATTTTAGTTAAAGAACTATATAAATTATGGAAATACAGTGTCCTTAGGTTTTCATTTATTCTCTTACTAATGTCAATCAATGACAAAAGTTATTATGATGCTTGGCTGAAACCAAGTATTTCTTAAATGGGATATTTGCATTTGGACAACAATACGTGTTTAAAGTAGGCTCGAGGTGGCCAGACTAAAACATGGCACCAATGTATGAAGTGTTTCACTGTTGGTTTGAGCTATATGGTGCGATGCAGACTAGGTGGTTGGGGTCCGTAGGACAAGAGGAACCTGTGGTTGGAGACTCTAGGGGATATGGCTGAGAATCGATGTCAGTGGCGCAGATGTATACACACACATTATCCTCATCTTAACGACACTATACCGAATCTCACCATTTTCTCATTCTTCCTTTCTCTCTTTCTTTGAGTACTTTATATTTCTTTTGACTGAATTTTCTTATCTTGATGTTGCACCTGACTACCTTTCTACTTGATGTAGTGATATGAGTTGTGGCAAGTTGGACCGTTACGCAGTAGTGCAAGGTCCTATGTTGATGTTGATAATGATGACATGATTAAAATGACATACAAAAGCCGATACCAGATAGTATCATTAAATGCTATTACCTAGTGTTATATCTGGAGGTAGATGTTAATAATCTGTAGACAGATAGATCTATTTGGCCTCATGCTCCTTGGCACTCATCAGCTAAACGTATCAAAACAATGAGGAAATTGGTTTCTCTTTTGGGGGATTCAAACTCGAGTCAGTCAGTGTTGGAATAAAACAAATCACTACTAAGCACTACCGTTTCGTCTAACTTAAATTAGTGGTTACATTACGAATTTGAATGATTGACTTCCATCAGTATTGAGCAATAAGGACTAGACACTGATAAACGATAGATTTGCACCAAAGTATTGATTAGTTAGTTTAAGGGTAGTTTATTTCTGTAGTTCAGTGACGTCAATAAAAGTAATAAGATAAAATAGATATGATAGGTGTTTAAACGTTATCAGAATTTGAAGGTTTCAATTGATAATCTACAAGTTAGAGTATGCAATGTGTTTCTCAGTGTTTGTGATTCTCCTTTGGTCAATAAATATATGCTTCTATTTTATTGATTGGTTAGTATGCTAATTTCGTCTTGAACACTGAAATTAAACAACCAAATGCACTACAATGATGAAATTGATTCAATTCATGATTATATAGTGAAAATTACTATTTATAGATTGTTTAATTTTATCCTAGTAAACCTAGTGAACTTTTCAACTTAATCAGTGACTAAATCAAACTGATATTCATGCATAAGTAAAATCTTTTTTTCTGAAAAAATAAAAAAAATTCTATCACCCCTAACAACATTTGTCTTTGGCAACTTTAAGTTTTATCTATACTTGACATACTGATTTATTAAGTCAATTTATTCATCATTTCTGTTTTGATGTAATATCCAGCTACTTTACAAGTATTACCGTTTATATTAGATCAGAGAAATAATGAATAAAAGATGATAAAAAAAATGTGTTCACTTTAAGAGAATACCAATTTAGCAACTATTAGAAGTTTAGAAACACTGAAAAGCTATTTCATCCTGGTTTGAAACTTATTAGCAATGCACATTGACGACCCTTGTGGAAATCGAGTTCAGTACTCTTAAGTCTTGCAGTGAATAACCTGCATTTTATCTAATGATTTAGAATCCAGTAGATGACGTTTTTATATCTTTGTCAATTTGTGATATACGGTGGCCACTATGTAATTCCAATGATAAATATTTATCCTCCTACTCGCTTTGGTTTATCCCACAGATCACAGCTATTTATTTGAACTTTGGAACAGAAAATATCAGTCCGTGGTGAATAATATTTTGAAATTATCCAATTAATTCATACCCACTACAAATTAAAAAGATGTCTTAAGTAATATTGGTTCTGCCATGTTGTGAATTTAATGTTCAATCATTGAAGAAAGTCTGCCATATGATATATAACGGTGAACTTACAAATATTGATCCTAATTTCGGACCAATTTATACCATTTTAGTCATATTCCTAGCAAATATATTTGAAACAATACTATATCCTCATTCATAAATAAATTGTGACACTTCGGTGTATTTATTATAGTAAAATTTCAGGAAATCTATGACATATTGGTTTTACAACTAGTCAGACATAACTTTGTTCATCTGAACCTTACAGAAGGCTTAAGGCAGGAAAAAATAACTATTCTTTAGAGGTTTGGTGCAAATTTATTTCCTCCATCATCCTGGTTATCTAACTTTTTTTATACATAGCTCTCTTGTATATTCCTTACAATCGATCTTTAAGGAATTATTGTGTGGATGTGTATCATTTGAGACTTAATCTATACATCATCACTCATCAAACCAATACTTCTCTTTCTCAATGTAGGCTAGTGTACCTTTATCAATACTCACCCGACAATTCATATACGACAAGGTTTTGTCAATATTTGCTGAAATGTAACACAATAGGAAACATTCGAGCCACAGACTTCTAGACAAATAGAAACTGGAGAATTCTGTCATCCTCAGTTTCTTTGAGGTACATAGCAAACACAAATTAGGTGATGGGATCTGCTTAATAAGTAATATGGTGTAAAGTATGAAGAATTATTTTTAAAAGACAGAAACTACTATCAACTTTTTATTGGGTATTATCTACTTCTTAAACGTTAGCAAAGATTGGCGAGATGACCATTGTAGATAATTGTGAAATACACGAGTATATCTATTATATGATTGACCTAACTATAAAACCTGTTCAATGATGCAACTAGAAGGAGAATAGAGTGAAAAGCATTGTAACACTTTTTTAGGGAAATACTGTCCTCAGTGCACACGAAGGAAAACAGTTAGATCCAAACTTCTAGAAATTTACCACTCATGTTCCCATCAATTACTCGTATAACATTTATGTGTGAAGACACAGTGTCTCACTGTCGAAACGTTAAAATACATTATCATTGAGCAAGTGTACTCTCTGTTTCCATCAGTGTTTAGAAGAGAGCAAACGTTGTTCACCTGATAATAGTAAATTTATCTAGCAAAGTAAAGCTCGAACAAAAAGCGATATTCCACGTGAGGTGGATTTTTCGTATATTAATGCTTAACGAATTCTTTATTATAGCAAAAACGGCATGGAGTAGTGCTTCTTTAAACCACTTCAGTGGAGCCTGCTACTCTCTCTGGCTATAGGTCGAACTCAGGCCCTTCAGGTTTCACAGTGAACACGTGAAACCCTAGCCAGGTGGTGGGTGAGTACTTATGAGGAGTCCCATGTTATGACGAAATGGCTGTCCAGTGCTTCCAGGTTTTTAATGGTTCTTCAACTTATGAATACTACCTCAAAACCATCGTTTTAGTATAAGTTACATAACGAAATGCAGAAATGTTATAAGTTCCCAAGGCTTGAATATAGCATAACACTGTAGATATAACTAACTGGCTTACAATTACGAATAATCTCTCTTAAAGTAAAACAGTTTTCAGTATTCAATACTTCTTCGCCAGTTGTACATCTCATAGAAAAGAAACATTTAGCGTTAAATACTATTCCTCATCATCGAGCGTGTTAAATAGGACTCAAAATGTGTTTGTTTTTCAAATTCACAGCTCTCATATACTATTTCAAGTGTTTTTTTTTCTTTCAAATCTATTTTCTAAACTTAAAGTGGAGCAGTTAGACAAAATTCACAATATGAAGCAACACCGATGGTCAACCGATCAACGTTCCAACAATCTGAAAGTAATTGGAAAACTACCACACCCTGTACGTTAAAAATAAACAAAGTGGTTAATAAATATTTCAGTTTTACTGACCACTGAAACTTTATTTCCATTTTATTAAGTAATTAAAATAATAATAGTAATAATAATAATGTATTTTTGAGATGAATAGAGATTTTTAATTTAGAAGTAGTATTCATCATGGACTGACATCAGTTGGGGAACCATTGAAAATCTGGGAGCACTGGACAGCTGTTTCGTCCAACTAGTATGGGACTCCTCAGCAGTACACACTCACGACCCGGCCAGGGATGGGACTCAGGACCTTCAGGTTTCACGGCAAACGCGTTAACCATTCAGCAACTGGGTCGATTTCTAGTGGTTCACAGATTCCACCTTCTGTCAATTCATGACATAGCGTGACTGTCACCCAAGGTCTTCAGTTAGCATCCACTTCACTTCCAACTGGTTGACCCCACAGGTCATGACTTCTCATTACACCTTCCTGATATCCATCTGGAAGCAAGTCACTAATGAGCACTATACAGTGATATATTTCTCAGATGAATGGGGATTTTTTAAATTTAGAGGTAGTATTCATGATGCAGTGACGTCAGTTGGGGAACCATTGAAAATGTGGGAGCACTTGACAGCTGTTTCGACAGTTATGTCGTGAATTGACAGAAGTTGGAAATTGTGAACCGGTGGAAACCGAACCAGTGGCTGAATGCTTAACGTGTTCATCGTGAAACCTGAAGTTCCTGGGTTCGACCCCTAGCCGGGTCGTGGGTGCGTGCTGCTGAGGAGTCCCATACTAGTTAGATGAAACAGCTGTCCAGTGCTCCCAAATTTTCAATGGTCCCCCAACTGATGTCAGTCCATGATGAACTCTACGTCTAAATAATAATAATAACAATAATAATAATAATATTAATGTAAACAGCCAAACCGTATTGGTTCATTTTGTTTACTATTATACGTGTTACTGAAATGTTGATTTCATATTTCGTAAGCATTGGTTCCAGTTGAAAATATACATGTCTTTGGAGTCAAAAACATGTAATTAGATACAATACAGAATGAAATTGTATTCTACATACGAAGTCCAACGCGTCTTCATGAAGTAAATACTAATGAATACACATAACCAAGTAATGAAATATCCAGTGACAAACCCCAAAGCTTGAAAAACAATAAAAAGCTGTCATCCATATCTCTTGGGCTACAAATATTCCCTACTATCTCAAAACCAAGACGTTTGAGTGTATAAAAGCTTCCAGTTTTTTTGGTTAAAATATGAATCAAGTCAGCCCTTTAAATCTTATCAGTTCCATCATTCTCAATATCTTCATTAATAGTATTACGTCTTCGTAATTGGTCGAAAATGAGTACATTCTTCATAGTTTATTTCTCTTTGTAATTTTAAAGTATTTCATTACAAGATGGCTTCGATATAAGCCATATTAAATGTATCACAAGTTTGCACAATCAGTTAAGTGACTGGATGACTGACTGATAAAAAATCAACATACATCGGTTCAAGTTGCTACACTTCACAGTAGTATACAAAGAACAGGTGTATGGAAAAAGAATGACATCAAAGTAGATAAAGTTATGTCAGAGAATAAACAATTTTAAGATAGTGTTTAATGTGAACATTCAAGGTGTAGAAGATATCAAGGAGTGAACACATCTACGCTACTGTCACCGATTTTCAATCATGTAACTAACAGTCTTCAACCACTGATTCCTATTGTTTCGAGGATTACAGTCAGACAGTCGAAATCTCCCCCCATGGCTCAGACCAGCAGCTGGGGAATGTATCGACTGGTGCCACTTTTTAATTTGGCCACCTTGAACCCTCCTCCAATCCCATCCAACTTTCCCTGGCATGTTACATCGAAGTAGGCGCTGGTTTGGCATGCGCAGTACATGTCCAAGCCATCTCAGTCGACGAAGGTCCACAAAGCCATCAGTCAACTTGCCTTTCTTGGCTAGTACCTTTCGCCTGTCTTCAACAACGTCCACACAGTGATTACATCAAATATTAGCAACGTTATGAAGATATCTGTGATCAAAACCCTGTAATCGCTTCGTATCTTCTAATTTCAACGGTCATATCTCACATCCGTATAACAGGAGATAATGGACTGCAGCGCAGTATACTAGTTCTTTGGTAGCGTGTCAGCTAACACGGTGTGCTAATTTTTGCCGATTTCTAACTGCTATATTTTGTACAGAAATTTCATAAGGAAATTATATCAGTCTAACAAAAAGATACCTTAGAAATCCATCATTCATAAATGCCTTTTTGGTGCATACCAATCAACAAGGTATTTACGGATGGTCTTTAGCGATAAGATCTTAGCATGAGTAAGTGACCACTTCTTGAGCACTGAAAAGTAAGAAGATGGCAATATAGTGAAGGCGAAACAAGATTAAATTCAGTTGGTCTCCGTCTATGCAACCTTCGTGAAATAAATTCTTTGGATTTCAACAAGCGTTGAAACTAGAAAACAAAGTTAAATTCGAAATAATCAAGGCATAACTTAGTTTCACAAACATTTGAAGTGTTTTTAAAACAACTATCTATGTAAAACCTTTTCTAATGATTTTACATAAAAATTTCAGTTTCACCTACCGGAAGCTTGTGTGGAACTAATGTCGCTGTTGATGCTGTGGATGGTGATGTGTCAGGCATGCGTCAGGTTGTTGAAACTTCGAAATACTGGTATTTACCAGGGATCTCACGACCAGATGGTATGTTTATTGTACTAATAATTTCTGTAATATAACTAAGATGGTGGCAGATATATATAAATGTTAGCCATACAACAAGAGATACAATTTCATACTGAGTGATTGGTTATCATATTTCGGAAAGACAATGACTATATGAAAAGGACTAGACAATGGAGATCAAATACACATTTTCGGATTCATTTATGTATATCCTTGATACTTTAATTTTGATTATTTCCCTGAAGGAGCTCGGATCAAACTTCCATGGTAAACATTGGAACTATTTGATTTCGAACACGCTGTGACACACAAATACAAACTATATCCAATGTCAACCTTTTACTCAGTGCCCAATATTTGCCATACTATTCGGTCAAATCTTGATCATAGTTCATATAAATAAAATAGTGGGTTTATAAAAGTAGTGAGCAGCAACAGTAGTAAAATTCAAGTTAATCATGTTTTACTGGTTCAGAGTTAAATGTTGTACAAGCTATTTCTAAGGAGAAAAACAGGGGTACCAATTTCTAATAAAAGTAGCTGCTTCGGTGTATGACAGAAGAGTTTGAACCTCATGTTTAGCAGTGTGTGACAAATAATACTGAATGCTAAGATATTTTCTGTTATGTGGCCACTACCGATGAACTGTAATAGTACTAGGTACCTTTTACCTAAGCACAACCATGCAGAATACCTGAGAACAAAATGTATTATTCTGTTGTTAAGCTACTAGTCGTTCACGACTTAGATTTCTCCATTTTACATGAAAGTCAGTGGACTACGGAGCATACAGCTGAAAAATGTGCTAGTTATATCACTAGATCTTAGGATATATGAACATTACTGGTCTGTTTCAATTCTAAAGATCACCTACGCAGTTGTTCAAGTTGGTCCTAACAGAATATAGAGTGTAATCTATTGGTAAAGCCTGTTTTAAGATCAAAGAAAATATTAGGGAATTTTTTACTTCCCATTATACACTAAATTGTCGGTCATTTCTATCTTCTTTGACTAAATTACAACTCACTTGATATAAGGTGGTGATTAAATGTGAAATGAACATCCTGGTTGCGACAGGATTCGAACTAACAGTCTCTGGATCCTACCTGGTATTCAGCCAACTTGGCTACATAACCCTCAATACTGACTAGGTCCTAACTTTACAATACTCACCAAAAGTTGTGACCGACTAGTATTTGATCGTACTGTACATAATTGTCTGTTGATCTTTATTACACTAGACGTACAGCAAACCTCCCTAATCCTAACTTCGAAATGGCCTAATTTAGGCAGGGGATCATATGATTGATTATTAGTGTAAATATATGATACTAAGAGAGAGTTAGAACCTAGCTGGCAACTACTTTTTACAGGTCAGTTGACAGAACTTAGGCTAGGCATCCAAAAAAGTGCTTATTCCAGCCCTTCTGTGAACCAGGTTTCTTTCCATACTTAAATCCAATGCTCCTAGTTTCACAGTTTGCATCAGTAGATGTATATTTACATTGTAGAGAATAACAAACCCTCTTAATATACAAGCTAACACAACAACAAATAAAATATGTGATTATTTTCTGTTTGCCACTTTAACTATCATCCTGAAAAGAGTTCAGCTTCGACTGAACAGAAGACGAAGGATACAAAGTTTATTCAAGAAAACTTTAACCATTTATTGCATTTATAATTTAGTTGGTAGTAGCTTGCAATTGAATCCAGGACTGAATCGTCAGCTGGATAAACTCGCATCGTAGTGAGTTACAGTGAGCTAAGTGAGAGTCAAACTCTGCACGCATCGTTGCATACACGTGGCCACTGAGTTAAAAATAGTCACCTCTTATGAAACGGACATTAATTGTTATTTCTTAATAACTGTAGTTCCCCAGCGTTATGCCAAACCTAAATGGCTGATCTCTTTTAATGTACCTCAAGTTTCTGTATGCTCCTATTTAAATCATACCATAATGAAACTTCAGGCGATATGGAGGTATCCACCCAGTAGACGAAATGCCAACAGAAGTTGATCAATTCCAAAAAAATAATAATCGTCAATTAATTATTAACTGTTTCCCACGTTTTGCAGCCTATAGGATTTTGTCATCTACCTGCAGGCTGTTGTGTATTGTGGACATAATATTCATATGTATAAACTCAAAAGTCATAAATTCTGATAAAAAGCAGCTAGTGAAGAGGATAATGAATATCAAGTCTTGTGTTCAGTTCAGTCGATGATTCACAGGAGTGATAGAAGCATAAGCAAGTATGGCTATGTTCAAACACCTCTCCTCAATAATCACTAAAATGACAAGTTAGATTTTTTTTGACGTGATCAGTACTAATTATACAGGATAGAAGAACTCTGTTTGGTTCTTTCAGTAGTCCCTAAGATAACCTACAAAAACAAGAGTGACTTTAGAGGCCACCCTCGCAACTGTTGAGATAATTAAATATGTCTCTTTACTTTATGCAAAACAGACTTTCTGGACAGAAAACCGAAACCTGATTGGTTGTTTTAACAGTTGTATGAATGATTCCGGTGTCATTTTGAAAGCCACTGAAAAAACAACTAAGATTACAGCATGCATTTCTTTATTTTGTGTAAAATCAGCTTACCAGATGAAATATAGAAAGTTGATTGATGTGATTACATTCAAGTTACTCAGATTAGCCAGTATTTTATATTCAAACATTACTGTGACCTATAAATGACTAAAGAGTTTTCAAGGTAATGAAAGATGAGTTTAAGCAACAACTTTATCTCAGAACGTTAGATTAATGATATACTTCTGTCAGTTTTTAAATCTTTCAGAAAGTGGATCCTTGAACTCTGAATCAACTGAGTTATGCTGACAGATGCCTAAGCTGTGTTCTACATTTCCCTTGAAAACATATTTTCATAAAAGTGAAAATTTTTGGTAATATTATGTGCTAGATATTAAGGGTCAATAGACGGGATGTCGATGACCGAAGTCCAAGTGGTATATCTACGAGCATAATAAAACTGCTATTCCCTCTGTGGTTTGAATGTGAATCATTTGGTACTGAAGTCAGAAACCAGTTTGATATAGGACTGGGTTATTCACAACTATATCTAGGGGTTCCTGTAAATAAAATTCTGTCTAAAACTAGAATACAGAGGACTGTAGTGTAACTATAATTAGCTTAGTGACTGTATTGCAAACTTGGTGGATGGACTGTGACTGGTACTGAGTACTTGATGTCTACAGAGATTGGTCACTGATAACGGATTCATACTTATTATCTGTATTTACATTCTTTCTAATGATTCAATCGTCACTCTGTATATGATACAGTATTTACTTCATCAAAATATTCTCCATATCTCATCTATTTTTAATCTTTAATGTAATCTCTTTTGAAAAGTTTAGATCATTAAACATACAACTACATTTTTTTTCCTAGTGATTGCATTACTACGTGACAAGGAACCTGGAAGCTTTGTCATTCGTAACAGTAATACATATGCAGACAGTTTTGGATTAGCTTTAAAAATTCCTCCAAGTTCACCGAGAGGAGTGCTCAACAAAGGTGAGTTATAAAAGAGATGCATATATATATTAGTTTGTTATTGTATTTCTTCTTACGGAAAAGCTTATTCATCTGTATGTTTCTTTTCTGGGAATATTATTTGAAGACTGAAATGATAAATGTGAATTATTAAATATTATCACACAGTGAAAGAGTTTTGTTTATTTATTTATTTATTTTGAAGTGACCGAATGGATTCACGGAGGTAAGTATTCATTATGTTATCGCCCTGAAAACGCTAATATACTTGAACCATACACAAACAACTGTCAGTCCTCCCTTACATCACTTCTTTAATCTTCACTGAACTGAAAAAATATCAGAAGACAAAGCCTGGCCTGTGACTGAGAAAATGATCAAAATTTAGGCAATAATGTATCATCTGTATACACCTTTGTTATATACCTAAAAAAATATGCAACCTAAAAGACAAAGAGAAAATTATTCTGATTGGTCAATTAAATCACCAGTTTGCCAGCGTAGGTTATTTCTAACTACACCGCAACATAGATTGAAAATTGAAGCTAAAAATCTCGAATAACCCTAAAGAGTATATTAACAACCACGGAACTAACCTATTAGATTTTTTTATTTCGATGGGAAAGGTAGCTTTCTCATTGGTTGTAGCTAAAGTGGCCTTGGGAGTCAATTGGAAAAACTCATCCACCATTGAAAAATGATTGAAAGTGCTGCTCTCCGTTTCTCAATCTTTAATCAAGTTAAGTTGGTAAAAGAAATTATCATTTGAGAAGGAATAAACTTTTAAAAATGCTTTCAAGTTTTTGCAGTTAAGCGAAAGGATCAACTAGATGGTTTTAAAACTGTGACTGAAAGAGCTGATTACTAGATGCAGTGATATGTCAGATGGATAAGCCAAGTTGAAGTCTTGATAGATACGTTCAAATCACAAATTCCGTCTTGATATTGATAACAGGGTCTACCGGTCTACAGGTCTTCCTATTTGAATTAAGGACATATACGCACACTTCATTTACCTAGGAAGTCGAATAAGACTTAGAGGGTCAGTGACCGATGAAATCCTTTCACACGCACAAAAGACCCTACTGATCTTCACTATTTGTGGTGCCGCCATTTTATCTGATTATTTATTAAAGGTCAAATGCACTGAGCTCCAGTTCTCTTTATCCTACTCTGTGGCTGTGAAATGTAGCCACTAGAGATACAAAGAACATGGAAAGACTTTCTGTGTTTGACAACCATTGCCTACATACAATAGACCGGGTGCCGTGATATCACCGTGGGAGTAATGCAGAAGTAATGGGTAGAGTTTTATGGGGGAATGGAAGGTCAGCTGATACGGTTATGAACCTTCAGCGACTCAGATGACTGAGAAATGTGTTAATCATGTCTGATCACTATCTGCCCACGCAATGTTAGCTGAAATATGCTCAGGCTAGAAAAGGGGTAGGGGTAGCCAAAATAAAACATGGTACCACTGAATGAAGTCCTTGACTGTTGGTTTGAGCCATGCTGGGAGATACAGACTACCCAGTTGGGGTCCATGCGGCAAAAGAAACCAGTGGTTCGAGACTCAAGATGATATGGCTGAGAATCGATATCAGTGGTGCAGATTTATCCACACATTACCTTATTTGTAATCGCTAGGCTGAATTTAGCATTTTCTTAGTCCTTATTTCATTATTTTACCACTTTCTACTACTTTTGACCATTTTTCTTTCTTTATCTTTCAAATTATTGCTTTGTTACTTTTTGTATTGGTATGACATGTAACAACTTGAACTGTTACACAGTAATACCTGGTCCTATATTGATTTTACGAGTGCATATAAACACCCTGGTATGCAAACTTATATGACTTCAGTGTTGTTACAATATTGAGATAAGACTCACAACTAAATCATGAAACCATGAATTATGGACAGAGAGTTTCCTCTGCGTTCATTTATCTGACACATCTGATTTATTGTTGAAAACAATTATTGATTATCATTATTATCATTTCTTTCATTAGATGATCCTCAATCTGAATGGGTTCGTCATTTTTTGATTGGCACCGTCCCTATGCATGATGGACGTGGGAATGGAGTTCATCTTAGGGGATTTTCGAGTGATCCAACATTTCCTAGCTTAGCAGCCTTCGTTCAGTATCATATTAATCGACAAGGAGCTCTACCATGTACACTCCGCCTTCCTACAGTCACTAATCATATGCTCTTCAACCAGCAACGAACAATCGTTAACGATCAAACAGCCTATAATACAGAAACACCATTACCTACTGTAGTACCAAGTAGCACAATGAGTAAGTTCTCTTTAAGATTCATTCCTTTTTAAGACCACGATTTACATTCATTTTTAGAAAGTCATATAAGATTGAAACATAATTTCTTAACCTTTATAGTCAGTCAAACAATAAGTTTCCTAACCATTAATGGAACGAAGTAATTCCACGTGTACTAAGAGTAGACCGAAAATACGCAAAACAAAGATTTCTCTGAGACCAATTATTGACTTTACAAATTTGACTACCTGTCGTCTGCCTATGGATCGATGAAAAGACCCTGGAAGATTTGGATTTCGCCAATGCTGATCTGTGTCTAATATCGCACAAACTCGAAGATCTACAGGTAAAAACTAGCAGGTTGACAGAATAGGCAGCGAAAACGTTACTTCAGGTGAATATGAAGAAGACGATGTGATGAAGATACCCAACCAACAACAGCATGAACAACAAACACCAATCACCATGAACAGGAGGAATCTAAAGGAAGTAATCTCTTTCACCTACTTAGACAGCATCGTTTCAACTACAGACGTCACAAGCATAGATGAAGATGTCAAAACCAGGATTGGAAAGCAAGACAGGCTTTCATTAATCTGAAATCAGTGTAGAGATCTACTGCACTCAGTACAAAGAACAAGATCCAGATTTTTAACACTAATGTTAGTCAAGTAAGTCAGCGCTTCTATGTGATGGTTGAAAGACTTGGCCTGTCACGAAAAGCATTTCCAACAAACTACGGACATTCATCAAGAGCTGCCGCTTACGCTCACTCCATACTGAAGATCAGATGGCCAGAAACAGTAAGGAACAAGGAACTTTGGCCAGCAACGAACCAACGAAGCAAGAAGCTATCATCCAACAAATATGCACTGGAAGAAAGTGGAGATGGATTGGGCATCCACTGAGAAGGCCGATTGGTGATAGCATACATCAGGTCAGGCCTTCGAGCGGAATCCAAATGGGAAACAACCAGTTGGGCATCTGAGGTGAGGGTGACATGGAGGAGATCATACGAGAAAGAAATGAAAGCTTGTGGACAGTGGTGGAGCGAGTTTCAAAAGACTGCAGAGAAGAAAGTGCAATGGAGGTGTTCTGGTGAAGCCGTATGTTTCACTAGGAAAGCAAATGAAAAATAAGAAGAAGAATTCTGAAGGTACTGTAATATGATATTTCTTCAAATATTAAAAATGTACAGGATTTCAAAAATAAACTCTTGAATATGACCATAACAGAAGATGAAATTATGATCAGTTTTGATATAATTTCTCTGTTCACTAGTTTACTAATTGTGGTGAATCTCTATATGAAAGGTATGAAAGAGAGAGTTTTAAGAAGTATCCAATACCAATTCAAAGTTTGGTATAGAGATATGTTGATGATATATTTGTCATTAGGATGAAAATAAACCAGTGGACATTTTTATAATATCAAAATTCTATTTCAGATTCTATTAAATTCACTAGTGAAATAGAATCTAAGGATGATACTTTAAACTTTTTAGATCAACTTATTCAAAGAACAACTGAAGATAAATTCAGTATGAAAATATACAGAAAATCAATAAATTTCAATGAATAATTACACTTCCAATTGGATCACTGAATTAACATAATGGCTAGTGTCACACTGAACCTACTAAGCATACCGTAAAACATTTTAAGCAATCTTAATGTTCTCAAAAGGGAAATCTCTAGAATAAAGCATATTTTAATGGTAAAAAAAAAGGGATACCCTAGAAATTTCTTTACCAGTATTATCAATTAAATGAATAAAGCAGTAAGGTGTTATGTATGACGATACCATATGGAAAAGGTATTTCTGAATGATTTGAAACAGTATATGCTTTAAATGAAAGTTTTCAATTTATTAGAAAGGATGGATCTCAGTCAAAGTGAAAGATACTATTCTTAAAATGACTCAGAACAAGTGTGTCTACAAAATTATATGTTTAAAAATATGAAGCTAATTATGTTCGAGAAAACTGTAGACCCTTAAACGTTAGGTTGAATGAGTAAGAAGTTATGTACAAAACATTCACTGAGCAATCAAGAAGAATTTTTTAAAAAAAAATTTAGAAAAGCGATCAGTATACAATCGAAAGTCGATACGTAATTGACTTACAGAATATAGACATATTGGGATTAGGTTTCTATTGGTATAAAGAAAGATAAACTTATTAGGCTGTGCATATTTTAACAATATTAGATGTTATAAAGAGAAACGAAGGAATACACTTGTCACTTATTTAATCAAGACTTTAATATGACATAACCCTAACCTTAATTGACGCTACAATAATAAATGATAATTATTTACGGTTCATAAATATAAGTACAATAGACAACACACATTCTGTAATATATACAAACAAACACACACACACTTTGTTTATCCTATATATTCGTTAACAAATGATAATAACAACCAAGAACTTGTAATGACTAGTCTTAACTATTTAGGCTAAATAGAAAAAGTATCTAACCAATGATTTACAATCACGAAAATATTTCATGTATCATTCAACTATTTGTCTTAATATTAATAAATAAAAAGGACTGTACATTCTTCTGAAGAAGCTATGGCTTACACATCGAAACCTTCAAAAATATCTTGTTTTAATTTTCTAAACAATATGCTGGGATTATATTAAAATATATTCTTATAAGATGTATCATTTTGACTATATGAGAAAGCTACAGTTTGTTAAACTAGTATTGATACTGGGTGATAATTGAAGGTGAAATGAAAGTTTGGATCGCGGCTGGATTCGAACCACTGACTACAGGGTTTCCGACCCGATACTTTCCCAATTGAACTACATGTTTCGTTCAGTGGGTAAGTTTTAAGACATAAATTTTTGTTAACTACTTCAGATTATAAAAAGAACTAGTAATATGGAATGTAAAAGTTAAGCTATTTCATATCCTTTTCTATATGAACTAGATAACTGAATCAATTTTAAGTATTGTTGTATTTTTTTTTTCATTTAAAATATTTCAGCTGTAGATATGTTATATCTTGGTTCAGTTGAAGTTGACCGCCTTGAAAATATGAATGCTGCAAGTCGTGGAATAGGTAAAATAATTAGTCTTGCAGAATCTTATGCAAATGGATTACCAAAACAGTGTGAAGTTCAAATCAGAGTTGTTCCACATGAAGGCTTCATTTTTATGGAGAAATCTAGACGAAGTGTATGGAAAAAAGTGATCAAGCCAAGTAATCTACTTTGGTGTGGTATAGATCCAGAAAATCGAGAGTATGTTTTTAAAAACTGCTATTTATTTTAAAAGATTGAATTTATTTTCCAATCGACATCAGATGTAGATTTGAATTACACGTTATACTGTATAATTCAGTATCAGTTACTTTGATACTTATAGAGAACTTTAAGAATTCGATTAGATAATCATTACAGTTAGGATGAAAACTCTATTCATAGTAGGACTTTTTTCAACTAGCCACCTTCAAATTATCGTCCTGATAAGAATAAATTCGGATGGACATAAGTAAATTAAACCACGCTGCTAGGAAGATTACGAAGAAGGGGTCATTAAGTTTTACGTATTTACGTGGCATCTGAGCCCAACCCTAGTTGACTGGTGTGATATAGAGAAGTTGTCAAAATTCTTATCTCACAGTTTGTTCGTTAGAGTGTCATGTTCTAACATGATTCTGTTACTAGTTTCTTCTTCATCCCATTACATTAAGATACTTCCGTCGAAATATGACTGCTTATCAAAGTTTCACTAAGAAATTAGGAAATATTTTAGTTGATAATATGTATGTTTTAGGTCGTAAAGCATGGGCCTATCACAGATAATCAGTATGATGATGTGACTCTCTAATTCTGGTTAATTTAGATTGCGATGAGAAATCCTGTCTCTGTAGCACGTATGAATACGATGAACGGACAGTAATGCATCACGAGTTCACATGGTAGTCGGACCAAATCGTTGGTGATTGAAGTGAATTGAAAATGTAGTCAGCAGTCAAGTCTCTTAGGTCAGCTAATCGAGAATCTGGTTGGGAACTCAGAGTTTGCTATATCTAATTCCACGACGAACCAGATTTTCCTCTCACTTTCAATCATCACCTAGTATTAACCAAATGCTTCTGTTCTACTTTTACCATTTATTATTTGTCCTTTGGGTTCCAAGTGGAACAAAGGGCTTCAGTAGCACGTCAACATAACACTCTCTTCTCTACAGTCCTCTTAACCTGGCTACATGACTGCCCATAACCTTTCATTTCTTCCTCACACCATCTCCTCTATGTCATCCTCACCTCAGAAGCCCAACTCATCCCTTCCCATTTACCTTCCACTTGACAACCTGGCCTGGCGTGTGATGTCTTCAAACCGTCTTCTCAGTGTATGCCCAATCCAATCCATATCCACTTCCTTCCACTACATATTTTGTTGGGCTGTAGCCTCTCAGTTGCTTAGTTGCTAGGCCACACTTCCTGTTTGCTTATTCTTCCTCGCCTTCTCATCTGAACTTCACTACCAAGCCAGTGTAGGCGGCAGCTGTCCATGTATGTCTGCAGTTTGTTGGAAGTGCTTTTCGTAACGCGTCAAGTCTCTCAACCATCACATAGAAGCACCAACTCACTTAATTCTGGTCTTCTTTATGCTGAATGCAGTGCAGTGTAGTGCAGTAGGTTTCCACACTGATTTCAGATTAATCAAGGCCTGTCCTGGTGTCTTTCCGATGCTGGCTTTGACATCCTCATCTGTGCCTGTGCCACCTGTAGTTGAAACGATGCTGCCTAGGTAGGTGAAAGAGGCAACTTCGTTTCGATTTCTCCTGTTAATGGTGATTGGTGCTGATTATTATTGTTGTTGTTGTTGGTGATGGTGGTGGTGGTGGTAGTGCTTGTTGGATATCTTCATGACCTCTGTCTTCTCTATGTTCACCTGGAAGAAGTCCCGTCTTCGCTCCCTGCCTCTTCTGTCAACTTGTTGGTTTTCGCCCATAGATTTTCGAGTTTGTGTGACATTAGACACAAATCAGCATCGATGAAATCCGAATCTTCGAGGCTTTTTCCATCGGTCAGACAGCGTATGCTTATCCTCTCACTCGTCACGGTTCGCTGCATGGTCCAGTCTAGTCAAGTAGACCACAATCAGGAAGATCATCGGTGATAGTAGGCAAACTTGTCTTGTCTTACTCCTGTCTCCACTTCAAAAGCGTCAATGAGCTTTCCATTGTGAATCATTTGGTGTCTTCAGATAATTGTTGAATGAGGTTGATAAAGATTTGTTGCACTTCTGTTTTATAAGGTGCACAAAAACTGCTTGATAAAAGTGTTTTGTTAATAAATACGTTTTAAAAATTTATTTCGTTACTTATATTCACTTCTCTACTACAATGGTTGAAGAAGATATCAGAAGTGAAATAGTAGAAAAAAACTTGTAGCTCAGCATAATTATAATTGTTATTCGGTGTTCTTCAAGCTCTAGGTGAACCAAAAACTTAGAATGACTGAAATGTACTCTAAGGTAGTTCAGATAATATTTTCATTTTCACAATTAACGCTATCTAGTCTAGATAGTATGAAAATAGAATGGCTGTGAATAGTATTCTTCAAGTAAGCTTTCATGGAATACTTTCAAGCATTTGAACTAATATATCATAGTTATGAATAGTGAAAATAACCATTATATACTATGGGAAATCGGATTTCAGATAAGTAGCTGCATGCACCTTGAAAGATTTATCACTTGGCGGATGACATTCAGTAATAAACAGACTAGAACTGTTTTAAATTATGAACCTGTATCCAATCTATCATTTGTCTCTACTAATGAAAGAAAAAAAAATAAAATAAATCACTTGTAGCCACTTATAAAAACTGATAGAGGTAAACTGAAAAGTCTTCTATGTCGGTGGGAAAAGCAATATACATAGTACTTAATAAGCAAAACTTTATGTAACTTGTATTCTTGCATACCTAAGGTTTTTTGTCAAGTGAATAAATACAAAACTTGAAATGCGGAAAAATAGAAATAACCCTATAAATTGTTGTTTTTTTGGTGATGTAGCAATTAATTTTGTTATTCCTAACTTTCTTCATATCGATACTTGCATTTCAATTAGCTTTTATCCGAAATAACACAATAAATTCCTGCATGGAATGTTACAATGCAAGATTTACAAAATATTTTCTCAGTGAATACTTCATTTTTTACAATGAATTGCATAATATAATTATATATATATATATATATATATATATATATATATATATATATCGGTGGTGAGTTCGAGTCTTGGAGGGAAAACATCACTTACTAGGAGGCAGGTATATCCAACTGACGAGTTACAAATAGGAAAAGAAGCGTGTCCTAGATTTTACTGGCAGCCACTGTTCATCATTACTATCAAACTGTAATTTCTTTGTCTTTCAGTTAATTATTCTGAGCTTATCACGAATGAATAATCACTGTCTTGACCGATAATTTATTGTATTTTGAGGTAAATGGGGATTTTATTCCTAAGGTAGCATTTATCACGAAGTGACATCAACTGCAGAACAATCAGAAACCTGGGAGCACTGGATAGCTGTTTTGCCCTAGTATGGTACTCCTGGGGAATAGGCGGAAGTAGGAGTCTGGGGACAACTGAATTGCTATCCCATGGCTGTATGGCCAACTGGTTTGGTAACAGAACAGAAGGTCCTGATTTTGATTTTTGAAGAGGTAAGGGTGGGGTTGCATACTGCTGAGGAGCCCCATACCAGAACGAAACAGTTTTCCAGTACTCCTAGGTTTCTGGTGTTTCTTCATGATGAACACTACCTTGAAATAAATAAAATCCCCATAAACCTTAATCCAAATCACCGTATAGTGATCATTTACGACATGCTTCAAGATGATTATCCCGAAGTTCGAATGAGAAGTAGTGACCTGTAAGGCAAACCAGTCGGAAGGGAAGCGGATCCCAACTGAAGACCTTGGTGAAATGGTTAACGCCTTTGCTATGGGAAATGAAGGTCCTAAGTTTGATTCCCGATAATCTGTCATTTCTTTATGTAAGACACAAAGTTAAGCATTCCACTGATGAAGTCAACCAAGTGTTCTCTTCGTGCTCAAATACAAGACACGCTGGTTTAGACTTTTCCATAAGAATTTACTGAACTGTACATGTGATGGATCCGCAGACGATGTACACTAAATGTAAACTGATGGAAGTGGGAAAGATGAACCTCAGGATGCCGACCTATTGGCTCAACGGTAATGTACTGGCCAAGGGACTCAAAGGTTCTGCGATTGATTCCGGCTGGTTTCATGGGTGAGCACTGCTGCGGAGTTCCATACCATAACGAAACAGCTTTTCAGTTTTTCCAGGTTTCCAATGTTTCTGCAACCGATCTCTGTCCATGATGAACATCAAGCTGAAGTCAATGAATGTGAATTATTTGAATTAACTGTTATTTCGAAAATATTTACCCATAATAAAGTCTTTACAACAAACCTACAAACTGTATATATTCTATTTGTAGGTTTAATGACGTGGAATTACGGTCCAAAGGAATGTATGGTTCCAAGTAGGTTACTTTGTTTGTTTGTTTGTTTTAGACAAAAATTATTTTTATTTATTTATCTGATACTTCAAATTGGCTGTAATTCATGTATTTGAAAAAGTGGAGATTTGTATTTCAGGACGGGGATGATAATCGTTTGGTGTTCTCCTAGCTTTAAGGTTTGTTCTTGGATGTTTCATCATCATACTGGACGACGACTTCATAAACATATACTCTTCATATCTAAGTATTTGTAAGCGATTTTTATCATGGATTTACGTTAGCTGGAGAACTATCGAGAATGTGGGTTTACTAAACAGCTGTTTCATCTCAGCAATGCTCACGTATGACTTAGTAAGAGATCAAGTCTAGGATGGCGAGATCTCTGAATGAAAACTTCACTAATTCACTACTGGGCTGGAATCCAGTTGTCCACATTTATGACCACTATTAACTAACAATATAACTTGACTGTTACCGAGTATCATCAGTGAATATCCATTTTATTCTCGACTTGACTTGATGCCAAAAGTTAAGTTTTTGCATTAGAACTGTGAGAAATTTAACTCGAAGCAAGTCATTCATGTGTAATAGATTAAAGAAACTGTGGGAAGTGACTGATTTCCTTAAGGATTAGCGTCAACTCGAAAATCTATCGAAAACGGTTTACTAACGCGAAACTCATCAATAAAGTAAGTAATCAGGAGACCAAGTGTGAGCATCTGATGTTATATTGGTGTTAGTATACATGTTGATGAAAAAAACACTTGGTGGATACTGAATTATGCTCCTATTTATATATAGCACAAATGAATTCATCTCAACAAATAATATATTGATCATCATTTTGACTATCTGAGTGAGATAGCCGTGGTTTGACAGACTACTACTGATACTGGGTGTTGGCTGAGGGTGAAGTGAAAATCAACTGTGGCAGGATTGGAACCAGCCACCACCGGTGCTCTACCAACTGAGTTACGATGCCCGACTGCTCACCAGATTTTTGTTCAGCTTCAATCACCAAGGTTTCTGCCTGACTACTATGTGAATTCGTAACGTATTACTACTGTTTGATTGTATTCACACTGGCCGCCTAGTCAGGACGTCTCATCCCAATCCAAATCTAACTGAATTAGAGACGGGGAGCAACATAATGATTCACATTTTGACTATCTGGGATAGACGTGGTTTGGTAGACTAGTACTGATGCTGGGCGATGATTGAAGGTGAAATGAAAATTTTGGTTATCAATTGTCAATAGTTTCACACGAACACCATGTGAATTTGTGTTGCGTTGTCACCGCTTGGTCTCACTCACATTGGCTTCAATCATCGCCCAGCGTCAATGAAAGTCTCCCAAACCACGGCTATGTCAGATAGTCAGACAGGAAATAATAATGGTAATAATGAAGGTATTTATAATGATAACAACCGAAGTACGGATGATTACAAAGGGGATTAAGTGACATGTAGAATCGTTCATAACTCAGAAAGAAGCGCAAAAGTTATGAAAGTAGTAACTCGATAAAGTATTGTGTAACAGGATTGAACAAGTTGGTAAAATAAATCCAGTGGTTTCTGGAAAGATTAAGACGATTGAGTGAAAAACCACCTAGAACTATTCAAAGGTGAGTATGTTCGAAACAAAGCATGTAGAAGAGTGTAAAATGAAATTAGGTTCCACCCACTATATGTATATTATCTGGACTGTCTATGCGAGTCACTAGTGTTCACCATATCTATGGGATATCTGACCCATCTAACCGCTGAAGCGTACCAACAGATATGTGAAACTTCTTTAGTGACCCACTCTTTGTAAAACCCTTTTCGAATGGTATTCTATAACCCGAATGTAAGGCATCAGCCTCCTTAATGGTAGAGTCTTTTTTAGGTGTAAGAGTAAAGTGTTCAACACCTTAAGGAATACTCTAATGTTGTAACTATTGTATATGTGTCTTAGTTCTACTGATGTGGAGGTTTGATAAGGAAATACTGCAGTACTTATTCAGTCTTTATTAGTTGGTTTTCCTAAGTCTATTTTCAATAAGCTTTTTCTATCCTTTTTAGTAGCTATTCAAAATTTATAAAACTTTAGTGGTTACAGAATCTTTTTTCTTTATTTCCATATCTCTTGTAGGATATTTGCTGTAGTCGCTCGTAAACAACGATTTTGGCTGCATGAAAATGTGGTTTATGTATTCTGTGAAATAAATCATAGTTATTCAGCTAACAATTTAGTACGATATGTGAATTCTGTATTTCCTTGTTTAAGGGATTAACTTTCAAGTCACTATATTTATTCATTTATTTATTGATTCATTCATTTTACATCTTATTTCTCCTTTCTATGAAATGGATTTTCATCTTCTCTTCAGTGAAGACTCTTCACTTTAATGATATTTTAACATAAGAAGAAAAAGTAATATTTCTTATTTCCCTTAATGGATTTTATGCATTACCTATAACATCTGCTTTAGATTGGGGAATGAATTCTTTCATCAGTTTGTTGTTATCTAAATGTTACAAGTTTATTTCGAACACATGAAATTAAGCTATTCAACTAACTTGTTACATTCATTGTCTTCAATTGTTGTTTCAACAGAGTATATATTTCGGTTCAATGATCAATATAAGTTGTTGTTTTACTTTTTCTCTTCTTTCGATTTAATTAAATTAATATAAATATTGCATAAACAAACCGCTACTTTGACACAGTTATCTGTTATATAACAATGAGATGATAGCTTTTCTATTTATCGGTCTAAAAAACCAGTCTATTATTGTCAACATTATTGAAATTGTCTGCTAAATTGAACGATTCATCTATCTTGTTGTCTTCTGTGTTTATGTGTACGCGTGTTTGCATTCTTCATAACTCTCTTCGCCTACTTCATATTATTTACCGAAAACTACCTGTTTATTTAATTTGTAATCTTTTATTTTAATAACTATACATATATTCTATTGTTTAGCATTCTCAATATCTGTAATCTTTAATGTCTTGAAAGAGAAAATCTCTTTCTAGAACTAATTTAAGGTGACAAATTCATTTATGTAAGCAGTTCATTATATTCGTTAGAAATGAACTATTTTCTGTTTATCTCATTGTTATTGTATTACTAACACCGAAAACTACTGTCATCAATACTATGTTTCTTGTTCTTTCTATTATATTCAACTGTATCAACAGTCTTCCTTATTTGAACTAAGAATATTTATACTTCTATGCCTTCATTTTTCTTTCTAGAAACTTATCTACTTGTTAGTTGTTTTAGTAGAATAAACCAGTTGCTTTTCTTTCAGTTTTGTGTAGTTTCATCTAATCTACACACACACACACACACACACACACACACACACAAAGTGATGGAAAAACTGAAATACTTCAGAAGAAATAGCTTATATATGTATACATATGCATATATTGGTTTTTGCTTGTTTTTATTTAATTAGCTTTATACTACTGAATTACGTTTATGCCTATTTATTATCAGCAATATCTTTTGGTTGTTTATTCACGTCAAAATGGTTCTCGACTTTCTTCAAGTTATATATATATATATGCATCGGCGAATTATGTGAAATCGCTTCTGCACTATTTTATGCATTATAAAAATTAAAAAAATAAAGCATGTATTTACTTACAAAACAATGTCTTCTGATTTTGTCTACCATACAGTAGATTTTCATTTGTTTGTTTTAATTGTATGTTCAAGTGTAATTAGAAATTTGTCATCAATCTTATCATTCTAGCAAAAGATTTTGATGCTATTCTCATCATTAATATCACCATAACTACAATAACAAGCAGAAAAATAACCATAAATAATAGTCGAACCTGATATCTAGGTTGGTAGAGCATAAAGCTGGAAACCCGATGATCACTAGTTCGAATCCGGTCACTGTTCAAATTTTCATTTCACCTTCAATCACCAACCAGTACAAATAATAATGACATTAAATTAATTAAAACAAGGAACTACAGTTTTACAGAATACGATGAATCCATAAAATATTTCACCTCGTTCTGTTTTCATTTGCTTACAATATATCCATAATTCCCATTCTGACATCAAAAACAAGATATTCAGTGAAGAGGAGGACTCTTTTCAACTAATTTATTCTCAAGCTGTACATTCGTATATATATGATATTTAAAGACTGTAATCCGTCAGGAAGATTTAACTTAAATAATGCACAGACGAGACAATAATAATAATAGTGGCTATAATAACAATGTTGCTAGTTGATGACGCAATGGTACAATGATAACAAAAAGGGCTACGTAAAATTGTTAAATACTTTATAAGGTGCATATCGATTAAAAAGGGGTGAAAACTTGACAGAGTTAATAAACAATCAAATGATTATGAATGAGACAGGTTAATTGGAATAAAATAGAAATATATATACGAATATACAATTTCAGAATAAATTCGTTGTAAAAAGTCCTCCTCGATGAATATCTTGTTTTTGACTTGTTTACAAGCTAAAAAAAAAGCCATCATTTCAAATAGATATTAGTACTGCGTGAAGGTGAGATGGAAATCTGGACCGCGGTCGGATTCGAACCAGTGACCACCGGGTTACTGGCCCGGTGCTCTACCAAATGAGTTACGATGCCCGACTGCTCACCAGGTCTTTATTTCACTTCAATCAACCATCAAGTGTTTTGCTCGACTACTATGTGAGTTCGTAACGTATTACTACCGCTTCATCGTATTCACACTGGCTGTCTAGTCAGGACTTCTCATCCCAATCCAAATCTAACTGAATCAGAGAGGGGAAGTACCATATTGATTATGATTTGACTATCTAAGATAGTCGTAGTTTGGCAAACTAGTATTTGTACTGGGTGGTGATTGAAGGTGAGACGAAAATCTGGACCACAGTCGGATTCGAACCAGCGACCACCGGTTTACTGGTCCGGTGCTCTATCAACTGAGTTACGACGTCCGACTGCTCACCAGAATTTTATTCCACTTCAATCAACCATCAAGTATTTTGCCCGACTACCATGTGAATTCGTGACGCGTTACTACCATAACATTAACATATCTGAAAATCGGACAAAAAAGTGGTCAAAAAGGTGATGAAATTGCTTAGAATACAGTGTTGTAAGATAGAACTAGTTGATGTCAACTAAAGATCCTAAGGGATAGCAGCGTTGTATCGTGAATTGACAGAAGCGGGAAACTGTGGACCACTCACCTTCTACCCAGTGGGTGAATAGTCAACCCATTCGCCTTCAGACCTGAAGGTCCTGAGTTCGATCTCTTGAGGGGTGGGGTTGTGGGTGCGTACTAATGAGGGACCTGGTACTAAGACAAAACAACCTTCCACTACTCTCCGGTTTCCAATGGTTCTTCAATGAGTCGTAGTCTGTGATGAATACCACCTTGAAATAAATAAACTTCTTGTAAACTTCAAACTAAAATAATGATATTTGTTGTAAATTTTGACTTCATTAGCCTGTAAGCGACCGAAAAGTATGTTACAGAATACATTATATCCACTATATCCTACAAACCGGTAACTTCTAGCTGGTTTTTAACGAATCGAGTAAACTAAATGGTAGGAAATGACAATAATGATTTAAGCTTTCATTCCAGAATAAAAGTACACATAATCAACTATTGTACACATTCTGATTTAAGAAGCGATATTACCTTTTTTCACCTTTGGAACAAAGAGAAATGAATATAACACATCAAGGAAATTACACTCTTTATCTAAGATCAGGTTCTGCGAAAGCAATGAACAGTCAGACGACTCAAGCGCAAATGTTAATTACTGGAAGTTAAGAGAAACTGTATCATTATTACTATCAGAAAGATTTGATATACAAGGTAAATTGGGCATTACAATTGGTAATGACAAGCCCCAACTCTGAAGATTTATCCTTTCTTATGTGTAGGTTATCAAAATTTGGGCAGACAGTAAAAAAGTAATTTAACAACTGTGTTTTGTTATCTCTCAGTATATTATACAACTGGTTGAGCATAGCTGGCTATACTCACAAACTCAATCTCCTGGTAACCAACTGCACACCTTCTGGAGAGGAATTCATATTAGACCTATGACTACAATACTGCCACCACATATTGTTACCTAAACGTATACCCATACAAGTTCAAAACTTCCTCCTACTTGTAGGTTTCCAATTTTGAAACTTTGCAGTACTGATTCCTAGGCTATTCTGTAAAAGACATGTGTCTGACCACGTTTTAAGTACTGCTCTTTATTCTTCAGCAGAATATGAGATGAGGATAAATCCAGAATCGTAGGAGTGCAGACATACTTTACTCTAAGCATGCCCCCCATACAACTTCGTCCACTTTGATATCAGTTTCTTTCTATCCCTTTTTTTCTTTGTAAGCTACTCTAAAGTGTAACAGCTTGAACCAACCCACTTCTCTGTAAGAATTAGGCTACTTAAAACGAGAAGACAAAGTGAATCTGATACCGTTCCATAGACTCACTAATAATACAGATAACGACATCCGTTTTACAGAGAAAACTGGCTATAGTTTAGGGCAGCAGCTAAGTAAAACTCCTTTTTCATTAAGCACACCTTGGTATAGGATGAATTCCCCAAAAACACATATGGGTCAAACACTTTATCTAAGTTTTGTAGATTACTCTATACCAAAGCAACTAGATGGCCTTGACAGCAACATCACTACTTCACTTAAAGCAACTTCAGATATCACAAGGCCATTTAAAGTAAGAACATATTTCAACTATGAAAATCCAGATGCTTCATACATTATTTCCGTAATTTTCGGTAGCAGTGAGACGAAGATATAAGCCTACTTTGGGAGGACGCAGGTTACAACAAAAAAAAGCCCCACTCTGTATAATATCTGGCCATCTAGTGAAGAAAAATTGAATAAATGATTTTTTTAGACGAAATGGTCGCATCAATGAGACGATAATAAACTCTTGAGAGTCAACGGTTATTCAGTGCTTTCAGTGGTGCTTTTAGCACGTTTTCAGCTATTCAGCTCTAGTTCTTTCAGACCCCACACAAAAGAGTTAACATCTTCTAGAACACATTCTTGGATGTCACCAGAACTCAGATATGGATCGTACTTCACTTTTCCACTTGTATAACTGTGCTCAGTGGGACAAAGCCTTACTACTACAAAATCCATCGTATAAATGCCCGTAGTATGGGATTTCGGGTAATCATTCAAGTCTATTATCGTAAGGATATTTATTTGCTCAAACAAGACTCACGTGAGGCCCTAAAGATTGATGCAGGTAAAAACACAGA